CAAAGGTCGTGAAGCAGTGAAAACCCAGGCTCTCGGAAGGGGGAAAACGCTAGAATGTTGAAAAGTTCATGTCTCCCTTCTGGTATATGTCAGAGCTGTTCCTTTTGCCTTCTGTGCTCTACGATTTTGATACCCTGTCTGTTTCTTATGCTTCTTAGTCAGTGTGTTATATTCTACATCTCAGATCTTGCACTCCTTCTAGAAAGTTCTCAGACATGCTCTTCAGGGTTCCTCTCCTCACTTCAACAGCAATGCATATACTAAAAGATGGCTGTTCAGCCTTCTTTACCACTTCACGCCTCATCCTGCCCCAGTCCTCATCGGGGCGCCACTCTGAGTTCTGCTGTTGCTTATGATTATCTCTCAGAGGGAGACTCTCCATGTTAGCTTGTTGTCAATTCATTTTTTGTTGAGATTAAAATATGGGAAATCATGCTGGGCCATGGTGGGCTTGGGAGGCAGAAACAGGTGGGTCTCTGAGTTTGAGACCAGCGTGGTCTACAGAGTGATGGTTTAGGACAGCCAGGGCTACACAGAGAAATCCTGTCCCTCAAAAGCAAATAAATATGTATGAAATCTGTTGTCTTACACACACACACACACACACACACACACACACACAGGGAGAGGTGACATTCGTTTCTGCCAAAACTTGGTGTGTCATGGTGCTAAAGTGACTGAACGCCTTTGGTGTCCAGACCTAGTGTAGACGTCTCAGGGTGAGCATGAGTGAGGCTATGTGGTCAGTAGAGTAACAGTGTTCTTAGGATGGGTGAGGAGGACCTGAAGGACAGGCAAGTCCACATAAAACACATCCTGGAGAGGACCCCTCATGGCTGCTCATAACTGACTGGCTAAAACTTACTCAAAATATACTATCCAGTCATAGTGGTAGAGAATCTGAGGGGAAGGTTATAGCTGAAATGAAGAAGACATAGCCAGGAATGGTGGTGCATGTCTTTTATACCCGTACTTAGGAGGCAGAGGCAGACAGATCTCTATGAATTCCAGGCTAGCCTGGTCTACATAGTGAGTCCCGTGCCAGCCAAGGTTACATAGTGAGATCCTCCATAAAAAAATGTTTAAGATGATGATGGCGGTGGTGGTGGTTATGGTTGTGGTGATGGTGTTGGTAATGGTGGTATGGTGATGATGAGGTAGTGGTGGTGATGGTGGTGGTGGTGATGGTGGTGGTGGTGGTGGTGATGGTAATGGTGAGGATGATGGTGGTGATGATGTTTATGGTTGTGGTGGTGATGATGATGGGGATGATGATTGTGGTAGTGGTAGTGATGGTGATGGTGGTGGTGATGATGATGATGATGATGGATAGTAACATTAATTAGCAAAGAGTCTCTGCTACAATTGAAGGTGGCCACTAGCGTTCAGTTACAAGCTGTCCATTCTTATTCCCAGAGGCTCTAGAACATAAAAAAATGAAAATGTACTTATAGCCAGTAATAATTAGTTTCTATTTCAAAACTTTAAGAGTTTGTTTTTTAAATTTTGTTTCAATTGGTCAGAAGTAATTCAGTTTACACTAGGGTTGTGTTTCTTAATAATTAATTTTGTTAAAAAATAATTAATTTTGTTTGTTCTTGGTTTTGTTTTGGTTTTGGTTTTGTATTTTTGATACAGAATCTTTCTACATAGCCCTGGCTGTCCTGACACTCATTATGTAGACCAAGCTGACCCTGAACTCAAGAGATATACCTGTCTCTGCATCCCTGGTGTTAGGATTAAGGGCATTTTCTACCACCCCAATCTTAAAAATCAATGTGTTTAATGTAATTGTGTGGCTTATAGACATTTAATTAGGCCTTTTTAAAATTTTTTGAGAGAGACAGGATCTTACTATGTAGCTTTAAATAATCTTGTAATTCACTTGAAACTGAGACTGGCCTTAGACTTCAATCCCCTCCTGCCTCTGCTTCCTGGATGCTGGGAATACAGGCGTGTGCCACCGCCCTGGGAATACAGGTGTGCGCCACCGCCCTGGGAATACAGGCATGTGCCACCGCTCAGGAATACAGGTGTGCACCACCACTCTGGGAATACGGGCGTGCGTCACCGCTCTGGCATACGTTTCCCATTTCTAACTACATTCATTCCGTGGAGTGGTCCATACTTGTCATAGCATGCTTGTGGATCAGAGGACAGCTTTTGGGAGCAGCTCTTTCTGCCATGAGTCCAGGACTGAAATTGGGATAAGCACCTCACTCACAGGTCATCTCTCTGGCCCTTGTCTATCTTTATTTATTGTTTCTCGGGACTTTTTATAGTCTCTGAAAAGTTCTCTCTTGCTTAAATACTATGCTCATTACATAAATCATCCCCAGGCCAGGCATGGAGGTAGAGGGCTGTGTGCTGGGGCGGAAGAGAGATAGTTAGAAGTCATGGAACCATGGTATCAGGAAGCAAAGCCTCAGTGTCCCGGGGACCTAGAGAACACCAACTGTGACATGAGGACAAAACACAGGCAACAGCACAGGAAAAGAAAGAGTGCCAGGCTCTTGCACAGCTGGGAGAGGAAGGACTGAGATCTACAGGCCTCACCTGGAGCATTAAAACCCATGAGCATGAGATTTTTGGGCTCACCTGATACCACACTCCTACCTTCCTCCCCCTTGCCTGGCTGCAATGACAACATCAGAGGGAAAGTATGTTAAAAGGGAGGGCTGGTGTGTCAGGTGACATCAGGTGACACTGGGACATCCAAGTGAGTGGCCAGCTATCATAGCATGGATAGGTCTGGGGCTCAGAGGAGGGGTTCATGACCAGCTATTATAGTGTAGATAGGTCTGGGGCTCAGAGGAGGGGGTTCATGACCAGCTATCATAGCATGGATAGGTCTGGGGCTCAGAGGAGGGGTTCATGACCAGCTGTCATAGCATGGATAGGTCTGGGGCTCAGAGGAGGGGTTCATGACCAGCTGTCATAGCGTGGATAGGTCTGGGGCTCAGAGGAGGGGTTCATGACCAGCTGTCATGACGTGGATAGGTCTGTGGCTCAGAGGAGGGGTTCATGACCAGCTGTCATAGCGTGGATAGGTCTGGGGCTCAGAGGAGGGGTTCATGACCAGCTGTCATGACGTGGATAGGTCTGTGGCTCAGAGGAGGGGGTTCATGACCACCTATTATAGTGTAGATAGGTCTGGGGCTCAGAGGAGGGGGTTCATGACCAGCTGTCATGGCGTGGATACGTCTGGGGCTCAGAGGAGGGGTTCATGACTTAGCAGACTCTCAGGACTTCTGCAGCAGGGTGATTAGTTTCAAGGCACAGAAGCCAATGGTTACTAATTAAACAGAAAGTGGATTTACTAAAAGACTTCTTAGGTGGCTCACTGATCAGGAGGGTCAGAGTTAATCTCGGTACTCCATCTAGGCCAGGAACAGTTCCTGGAGTCATGCATAGAGCTGGTCTGCTGACGGAACCATCACTGCCACCAGCACCCAGTGCTTCATCCTCTGATGTTGCCATGGAAACCCCACCTCCCATAGCTGCACCCCACCCTGGAGCTGGAGTTTCAGGAGGTTGTGAGCTGCAGAATGGTGGGTGCTGGGAACTGGAACTCAGTCCCGTGGAAGAGCAGCACAAACCCTGAACCACTGAGCCACGTTTCCAGATCCTCATTTACTCCTTGAATCATGACCAGTAGATTGAAGAGATGTTTGGAAATCAAGATTCTGAGGTGTTTTGTGCTCATTCTTTCCCTCTCTTCCCCACCCCTCTGAGAGAGAGAGAGAGAGAGAGAGAGAGAGAGAGAGAGAGAGAGAGAATTTGGATGTGTTCACGTGGATGTGGGTGTGTGGAGACCAGACGGGTCAACAGCTGGTGTCTTCCTCAGTTACACTCCATGTTTTGTTTTGGTGACAGGGTGACTAGGTGAACCTGGAGCTCACCAGTTCTGGAAGGTTGGCTGGCCGGTAAACTCCAGGAATCCTCCTGTATCTACCCCACTCACTCTCAGCACTGAGATAACACAAACAGGTCACCAAGCCCAGGTTTCCATGGGTTCTGGGATTCGAACTCAGGTCCTTGTGCTTGCACAGCCAGCACTGTGCCCAGTGAGACACCTTCCAGTCCCTCTGAGTTTCTGCAGGGAAGAGTAGGCTGTGCCACCCATGATTCCTAGGTGGGGAATCCACCAAAGCAGGAAAGGAGCTGCCTCCATTGGCTTTCTGTTGCTGTGATACCAGCGTGTGGAGGGAAGGGTTCGCGTGGCTTACATTTCCCTCCCACGGCCCATCACTGAGCAGAGCGCGGGCAGGAGCTCAAGGTAGAGGTAGAAATCATGGAGGAACGCTGGCTTGTTCCACCTGCTTGCTCAGCTTGCCTTCTCATAGAACCCAGGACCACTTGCCCACAATAGGTTAGGCCCCTCCCAATTCAATCCTTAATCAAGAAAACGTCCCACGGACATGTCCATAGGACAATCTGATGGAGAAAATTCTGCAATTCAGGTTCTTCTTCCCAAGTGACTCTAGTTTGTGTCGAGTTGACAAAAATTAACTAGCATAAAGGTTGAGAGTTCAGCCCACTGAATATAAATCTTGATATTCACCACAAACTATCCCCAGCAAACTGCTAGCCTCTTAGTGCAGCGTGAGCAGAGACGGCAGTGAGGACCGTCACTGTGTCAAGAAGCTTCATCTTGTTCCTGTTTACATATTTATTCAGCTTGGAGGATTGTTTGGTTTTGGAGGAGGTGTTTAGTTTAGTGTTTGTTTTGAGACAAGGTCTCACTACATTGCCCAACCCGACCTAGAAGGGCAATCCTCCTGCCTCAGCTTCTCTGGTGCTGGAATTATAGGTGTACTTTCCTGAAGTGTCTTTGCCTGGCAATGAGAAGTGGGTTCTCGTGAATGTGTTTCCCTAACTACGTCAGGCCTACTTCCTGCATTTTGAGGAGGAAGCTGCACTCATGCAGTGAGAAGGCCTTCTTTAGCTCATGCCCTTACTGATGTTGGAATCCAGTATCCAAAAGGAGATGGAGCAGGTTCAACGATTTCCACTAAAAACCACTCTAGGACAGAATTGCTGGGAAAGGAAAGTGCTATGTTTTATTTGATTCTGAATGTGTGGGTCCATTTAAAATCAATTATGCTTCTCCTTAAATTCCTTCCTTCTGCCCCTAGCCTGCCCCTAGCCCCTTTGGATCAACTGAGCATGTCTCGGAAAGACACAGAAGAGACATGTCCAGACACCGGCGAAGTGTGCAGCCCGAGGTGTGGGCATACGGCACAAGAAGCAGCACCTCCAGTGAAGACTTCCTTCAAGCAGTGCGGTTCGGCCAGTAGAGTTGTTGCCCTGTTGGTCGGGACTTCTCTAGCTGGGTCCCCACACCAGAGCTCCTCTGTGGCCTGGGCTCCATAGTTGTCAACTTTCGAGCTGCAGAATCTGAGCGATGCCCAGGTCACACTGCCCCTCATTTACAATACTAAAATTGAGGTTCTCAGACTCTCAAGTCAGATGTCCTTCTACAGTACCTCCAAGAAAGCAGCTACCATCTGAAGCTCCGGTAGCATCTGAAGTAAGCAGATGGGGCTTGAGGGGGGGGGGTGATCAACGCAGACAAGAAAGACCTTCAGGAGGGGTCTAGCTGAGCTAGAGGAACCACGGCAGTTCCCAGTCTCCCCTCCCTCAGAAGGTCATCATGACACACCCCCACCCTGCCAGGACTCTTCCTGGCTGCAGCCCTGAATCAAGCCTGAAAGCTTGCCTTCCCATGATCCTCGGCTCCCTGCTGACTGAGGCAGGTTCCAACTGATTAAGTATCATACTAGTGAGCTGTCCATCAGTGTGGGAATTTAGTTGAGCCAGATGGCAGATTGCATGCTGCAAAATCCAGCAGTCTCTTAGGCTGACTGAATGGGGCTCTTAACAAATGGGCCACCTCTCTATGCTCTCCGGGGAGCAACAGAGGGGAGGATTCACAGATGCAGAACTCTCTGCAGGTGCACATGACGCTCCTGAGCTCTCCAGAGGAGAAGCAAACCCAGGAAGAAGGGGTTAAAAGCCAGAGAGGAGGAATTGGGGGCAGCTATGATTCTGCTTGCTTACCCAGACCCTGGAGAGGAGAAAATGGCGACAGCCAGACACATCCCTCCATCTAGGTCCCAAACAAGCTTAGCCTTTGTGGCTGAGATAAAGATGGTGCAGCAACCGGGACCGTCCTGAAAGACGGAGTGAGGGGCATGGCACGCGAAGGGAAGAGTGGGCCAAGGGAGGGGCTGTGCAGGGCTCCAGACAGCTGGGAAATGAGAAGCATTCATTGCATTTGGCAACTGCGTGGTCACTGGTGCCTCTTGTGAAAATCAACAGAGGACCGGAGATGAAGAAGAATCAAAGAAAAATATTCTTTTTGTTGTTCGTGTTTTGAGACAGGGTCTCACTGGGTAGCTCTGGCTGGCCTGGCACTCACTCTGTAGACCAGGCTGAACTCCCAGACATCCTCCGGTCTCTGCCTCCCAAGTGCTGGGATTAAAGATGTATGTCACCATGTCCAGCCAAACAGTTTATTTTAAAAATAATAATGATGGCTAGGGAAAGTGGTATATGACACAGATGTGACATTCTTGTCTTAATCTTGAAATAACTTTGGTAGGCTGTGTAAAGGGAAGCAAAGGAGAGAGCCTGCAGAGCCCAGAGGGAAAAAAGCAGAGTCTTGGAGGACATATCGGGGCTCAGAGAACACAGAACTAGAAGTACAAGGAAGGAAGTGAGACAGGACACACGCACTGGTCAACATGAAGAAGAGCGGCGGGCAGGAAGCCCTCGCCTCAGGAGCTCTCTTCAAGGAAGCGGATGGTAAGTTCAGTCATTGGCTGACAGCAAAGATAAAGGGTGTGCATCAGAAAGAAGAGTAATACAAGTTCAAGGGTTCCCAATCAATACTGAGGATGTGGTTCTGAGTCCGCCATGCTTAGAAGTCAAAAAGGAAGAGAAAGCAGGTTGACGTGAAAAATGGAGACCGTAGAAGCTGGGGAGTTAGTAAAGTCCAAGATGCTGATAGGGACCTCTGTGATGGGCCCTGGGTTCACGCTGGGAAGAGGAGGAAATCCTGGAGAAGAAGGAAAGTCTGGGAGAAGGGAGAGGGACACAGTCATGGAGAAGAGACCTTGCACAGCAGTGAATGGGGCTGGAGAAGAGGAGGCCCAGAAGCGAAGACTCAGCTCAGAAGTTTAATAGTGACCAGGGTGGCAAAAGTGGGAACGGAGCAGAGACAGCTACAAAGAGGGGCCGGCGTAGTAAGAGGCATACAAAGACCTGTGGCAAAACTAGGGACAGGAAGCCAATGCTCACTGCATTTCCAACAATGTCAGCCATGAAGCCATGTCCAAGGAGGGCCTTGTGGCCACCGTTCAGCAAGGTCCCTACAGCAGGCAGGTACCCGTTACTGAATCCAGGTGGATCGACCTGCCATACTCTGTGAAAGGTTGCTTTTCAAGTCCCTCCTGTACCAACGTTTGCACTAAAATCCCCGTGCGTCCACTGAAGTCATCCTACTACTGCGTCTCTCAGCGCAGCCAGGAAGAAGACTCTTGTCTTCTAGGGCTGCACACTGCACTGTAACAACCAGAACTCGCTGCATTTCCACTGTGTGACTTTGCCCAGGACCAAAGAGCTTATCTGACCATGGGACCACATGGGAATGAGTCACTGCAGGATCCAGTGAAAATGTTGATGAGCTAAAGAGCAAAACTCGCTTAGTGAACAAGTGTTTGGTTTTGTTTTAATTTCCTTAAACTTCCGGTTTGGGTTTGTTTTTTGGTTTTGTTTTTTTTTCTTTTGCTTTTTGTTTTTTGGGTTTTTTTTTTTTTTTGCATGCAAAAAAAAAATTTACGACAACTTTAAAAACTTGGTTCCAGGGGAAATTCCATGGGCTAGTCAGTGTAGGGAAGGAATGGTGGGCCAGGGACTCACCTCCTTGAAGGAAAAGTCATCCCTTTTTCCTATCTGCCCTGTTCACAGGCTCAGAGGAAGCCTCTCAGCACAGAGGGGCTCTGTAGTGGAAAGAGAACAAAGGCCTGCCGACCACATTTGCAAGATCTCTGGGCCCAGAAGCTGATCCTTGTTCTGACAGGACACAAGCAACAAGCTGCACCAGGAGAGGGAAAGCAAGGCTTTGAACCACGCATTTCCATGTCATGGGCACATTCTACAGCTGATCCAGTCAAGGCCGTTAGGTTTCAGGCTATCACAGTGTTCAGTGGCTTTCCAGGGCCGAACACCGTGAAGTATGGAATATGGGCCACAAAAGGAAAGATCCTCAAAGCAGAAATTAGAGACGTATGAAAAGAAGGAAGCTCACCAGGCTAATCAGAGAAAAAGATGCAAAATCCAAAGAGAAATAGAAGAGCCCAACAAAGATCTTGTGAACATAAGGAGCAAAGCCTGTGTTCAAAGGTTACCTGACTGGAAACGAACTGAAGAAGATTCAGCTGCCTGGAGCCAGACAGCAGGAATGGAAGCCCATCTACTGAAGAGAGCTTGCCGTGCTGCTGAAAGAAAAGGCAGTGGCAGTGGGCGGTGCTTTGAAGTGAAGCTTCCCCTCAGTCAAGTGCAGAAGGGACTGAGTGCTTTTGTTGACTGACAGGGAGAGAAGAAAAGCTTTCTGGTGAAAAGAACCTTGCTTCCCAGCAAAAATAAATAAATAAATGAAAATAAAAATAAAAAAGCCTTATGAATAATCACTTCCTTAAACTTTCACAAAACCAAAGTCACAGCCTAAAAGTCCCCTGAAATCAGCCATGCCGCGCCTCGGGACCAGGCTACTAAGATGCCATCTCCACCAGCAATGTAATCAACAGGTCCTTCCTCAACCAAGCCCTTGTCTAAGCAGAAGCCTGGCCCTGTAGATTTCTCAGATGCTTCTTCTCAGACACTCTGCCTACACTGTGGAGATCCATCTACAAAGGATCTACAGTACACAGCTCTATTCCCAGGGCTTCCAGAATGCCTTCCTGCATTCTGTGAAAACTGTGACTCTAGAGTTACCTAATGTCATGAAAGGATGCTGGTTTCTCACCTCTCAATATCCTCCTTCTCTGTCCTTAGCCCAGGAATGAGTCCCATCCGTCACCACGGTCTTCTCCAGGCTCCGACAAGAAAGGGTGACCGTGTGTTGGCTGCTTCTGGGCTGAGGGCAGCGAGGCCACAGTTCTGATCTTTGGTTGTGTGAGAAAGTAGAGAAGTAGAACTTGGGCAGGAGAGGCCCCGCACAGCACACTGGCTGTGATCTGTTCTGGCTAGGGAACCTGCACCAGCAGCCGACGCCACCTCACTTCTCCCAGGTAAAACCCAAGATGCAGATGTAGGACAGAGGCGATGGAGGAAGAACCGCTGACACACACAGTGGCCACTTCTGAGAAGGTGGCTTCTCAGGTGCTACGAGCCCAGAGGGACAGACTCTGAAGCTGGCACCGTCTGAGTGTGAGTGAAATCTGGTCTCTGCACAGCCACCTAACTCAGGCCAGAGTGCCAGCCACACATAGCACTTCACAGTGACCACCTAACTCCTACTCGGGAAAGGGGGCATGGGAAGCAAATACCCTGAAAACCGTGAGAACCCAAATAGGCACCAATTGAGGCCTCGAGAAGCCTCCACTGTTCTGCCGGTGGCAGATGCCTCTGTCCCAACAGGACACAAAGGCAAACAGTGACAGTCTTTGGCTGTGCTGGGACAGGGGTCACACACCTGCCATACATCCAAACCTCACCTCCTTTCGTGTACCCGCTTCTAAACCAGGAGTTCAGACACACACAGTGAGGTGCTCCCGAGCCCTGGCTGCTGAGAGGTGAGCGGAGTCGGCCAGGTCCTCCTGAGCCGCAAGAGGCATGGAATGAGGAAGGCCTCCCTCTTCCCTGTTCTCCTGAAATTTCTTTATGGGGGATACACTATGGCTCCCGGATAAATGCTAGAGATGCAAATGGTGAAGGGAGCATGACCCGCTCAACAAGGCTCATCTCACAGCCACACTCTGGAGAGGAAAAGCTGAAGGGTGGGGAGGGATGGGCGAGAAGGTGGGACGTCGGCCACCTGCATGCCCGCCTCCTTCCAGCTCTCACACCTGCGAGATGCTGTTGGCCAGACGAAACGACATTTTCTTTGTCTTTTCATTCTCCTGAGAGAAAAGAAAAATTGGAATACTCAAATTTGGATTTATTAAACTAAACGGGACCAAGGTCAGGATTGGGGTTCCCCAGAGCCGATGTTTTCTACCCTGGAAAGGCAACGGCAGAGCTCACCAAGGGCTCTATGTACCAAGTGTTGCAGATAACCAGGGGTTTCTGGCAGACCTTGGCACAGGAGGCCAGCAGCCCATTTCAGGGAGTTTAACAGAATGGCTGCAAGCAGTGTCACACACAGGTAATCCTAGCACTTGGGAGGAAGAGGTAGGGGGACTGTCACAAGCTTAGGGCCCGTCTGGTTTCTAGAGTTAGTTCCAATCCAGCCTTGGCTACAGACTAAGACCCTATTTCAAAAAGGAAAGATGGAAAGAGGGACTGAAGGAAGGAGAGAGGGAAGGAAGAAGGGGACATGAGGGGAGGGACACAAGGGAGGAAAGGAAGGAGGGAGACTGATCTTTCAGGTCTACACAGACGAAAGAGCCAGAAAGTCCTAGAAGTATCTGTTGCAAGCCAGCCTGCAGCTTCCTTCCTATCCAGGAGTTTAAAGGGTCCCTTCTTTCCTCCCTCTGGCCCAGGCAGGCACTGGTATCAGGTGGCTCTCTTTCTATGGGCATTGTAGTCATAGTATAATAGTTCTGAGCTGGGGGGTCAGGACAGCTTCTTCACCCTAGAGCCGTGAACTTGCTAGAGGACCCCTGGCAGGCACATGGCCCCTCTGAATGTCAGGCTTTACCAATACCTGGGGCTGGCGGTCTCCACGCCACCCTACTTTTCTCATACACTAAGGGGTTGAGAGTGAAGTTTCATCAGCATGACTCCATCTAGTACTCGGTGCTGGCTGCTCGGGTGCCCCTTGCCAGTGCCACCACCCACCCCCCTTGCCCACTGACCGGCAGCTGCTCTTTACCATGTGCCGCCGCCGCCTCTTGGGCTGGATGCCTTCCTGCATGTAGGGAGGCCACGGGAAGCCCTGCGGGGTGGAACAGCCACTCTCGCCAGATACATCCTCAGAGTCTGAGTCCTCTTGCTGGGACTGGGCAAAGCATTTGTCTGGGTAGATCTCCTTTAGCCAGCCCTCAAAGAATACTTCCAGACAGCGACCAGCCTCTGCAACCTCCGAGTCGGGCTGATGAGGGGAGACAGTAGTGGTTAGCCTGTTTCTACCAGGACATCTCCTCTATGCCCCTCCATCAAAAGGGACACAGGGAACACAAGCCTGACTGGCCATCTTAGACTCTCATCCTGAGAGACCTGGAGCTTGGCACATTCTCCTGGGGCCCAAGGTAACCCATTTGGTGGCAGCTCATAAAGTAGAAGTAATCTCAGTAGATACCCACAGTTGGCCAGTCACCACCTCCTCCCATACTTCCAAGTTCAAGCTTAGGGCCCACATTTGGGAGAGGGCTCTTAAACCATAGCCAATCCCAGAACTCTGCTCCCAGATGCCCTTGCCCACATCCACCCCCAGCCATGACCATCTCAGGGTCACTGTGAAACAGAAAACAAGACTGACATACATAATTGAACTTAGCACAGTTCCAGAACATGAGGCGCACATCGGATACTACTTCCTCTGGAGTGGTATAGTGAGCTGGGTCCTTCTTTTGCAGCCTCCTCCGAATAATCGATAGGTCCATGGGCCTCTTGATAATCTGATAATAATGCCTGGCCTTGGGGAGGGAGAGAAGGGGAGGGGGAGATGGAGGAGGAGGAGGGAGGAGGAGGAGGAGGAGGAGGAAGAGGTATTAAAGTAGGGATGGAGGAAGAGGCTTGCTCAAGTCTGATGTTAGCAGGTGCAAGGGAGAGCAGGAAGCAGGAGTGGCCGTGACCCCCAGGTCAGAAAGGAGCGCAGCAGGCAGAAGCATGGGGCCTCCTTACCAGAGGGCTGACTGGTTCGTGGAAGGGCAGGCTGAGGCTGTTGCAGCACAGAGACAGGACCAGCTTCTCACATTTCTGCAGAAGGCACAAATGGCAAAGGGCACACTGTTCTGCCCGCCTCAGTGAGAACTAAAGATGGTCACCCTGGTAACTGTCTGGTTCTGACCTCAAGGGTGTCAGCCACCCTAAGAGGCAGCTTGGGCTCTCAGGCCAAAGGGAAACTGCTAGGGAAAGGACAATCACATAGATTCCCAGAGGCCGTGTCGTCAGGCATGGCCATGGTGCAGCCTTAAATTCCCCCCTCGCCGCTGCTCAGAGCCTGAAGTTCCTGTATTGAAGACTTGGTCCCAGGGCAGCCACTCAGAGGTGGGGCCCTTGCAGGGTGACTTAACCATGAAAGCTCTGGTCTCATGTGGAGATCAGTTCTCTTCTGGAGTGGGGGTAGTGGGTGAGACTTTTAAGGAGTGGAGGAGAGAGGGAGGAAGTAGGTCATCTGGGCCACTCCCTTGCAGGATATATACTGTCCCTGGAGGCCATAAGGGAAGTTCTGCTCTCCCCATGCTCCCTACTGTACTGTTTCTGCCTCACCACCTTGACAATGACGCCAAGTGATCATGGGACGAAACCGTGAGTCTAAATAACTCTGTTCCGCTTTAGTGGATTTTCTCAGGTATTTTGTTACAACAATGTCACAACTGACTAACAAAGGCCACCCCCAAAAAAGGCTTGTCATCCCCCTCCTAGAAAAACCTCAGCCTCTGTAGACACAAGGGTCTGCCTCACACAGGAAACTCTCTTCCCAGAACCCTTCCCTACCTTCTGGTCATACACGCTCAGGCCGGGAGGTGGCCGCACTCCAGGCTGACTATAGCGGGCGTTCTCACAATCATACTCCATCTCAGGCTGCAGCAGGCTGCGGCACAGGGTGCACACCCACTCTCCCCTGCACAGCAGATGAGGTTGTATTAGAACCCAGCAGCCTCCCCTGAAACTCTGCCCAAGACAGGCATAGAAAAGGGGGAGCTGTGGCCTGGCCAGGATCACGACTCACCCCGGGAAGCTAAGCAAGGCTGGCACATGGCAGGAAAGGTGATACACTTTGGGGCAGCGGTCACAGCACAGCAGCTCCCCGCCATTGAGGCACACAGCACAGAAGTCCTCATTTTCGATGGGGGCTGGGGTGCACTTCTTGGCTCCAAGGGTTCGGGGAACCAGTCTCTGTTCTTCAGAAGATGCACTGTCCACCTCCAGTGGCCGCTGCCCAGCCAGAGATGTGACAGTGACCTTTCTTCCCCCCAGCCCTGGGCCTTGGGTGGCATCAGGCAGGCTGTTCTGGCTGACCTTAGGGAAGAAGGGAGTCTGAGCGGTGGGAGCACAGTACTGACAAATGTTTGGCAGGGATGGGGTGGGTGGGGGAGAACGACAGAGACTCACTGGGAGGGCCTCTCACTCCCGGACCACAAGCCAGCCAAGTCCCAGCTCAACCACCCTGCCATATCTCCCAGATCCCATGCAGCAGACAACAAGCTACGTCCCACCGAGGTTCACAAAAGGCCCTCGTGGATATTCTACACTTGGTCTTAGCCAAAAGGCAGAGAAGCAATAAGAATATTCCAGCAGCAGCAAAGAAAAACAAGATACTCGTAGCCTGGACCAAGCAGAGCCAAGTGGTACCTTAATGGACATGCTGGAGGACTCAGCGCCACACTCAATCACCAGCAGGAAGCTCCCGTCCTGCCTGTTCTGCGGCTTCAGCTTGAACACCGGCATCTCTCCTGATGAGGCCGCACAGATCTTAAGCCGCTCCAGTCGCACATAAGGGATCTTGGGCTCACTACTGATGGCTCTGTGGTAAGAGACACACCCTGGGTCGCATCAGGAGCCCTTAAAGGCTCCATCTCTAAGTTAGGCTCCTTCATGATCCCACAAATAAACAGCCTCCCCAGTTAACCCTTTATAGGTCCACATTTTTGCTCTTGCCAAGATCAACCCATTCAACCCTGTCAAACACTGCAAAGACCTTTGGCACTGTCGGTAGTCAAGGGAGGGCTCCCTGAAGAGCAAGGACTGTCACATACAGAGTGCATGTCTAACGTGCCTGGAACACTCCCTTAACTATCCTAGGCTCCCAACCACATGGCTCCCACTTGAGGCTCAGCAGGCGGTAACGGCAAGTATAGATAAATTTCTGCTTCTAGTTCTTCTACAGGATTACTTCCTGTGCCAGCCTCTCAGGCCAGGAAGTTGAGGGTAAGAAGGTTGGCCCAGAGTCATTACCTGATGCTTGGATTCTCTTTTGTATCCGGCTCTAGGGCTCCTTGTTCAAAATTCTCATACTCTAAGACAAAAGATAAATAGCTGTGACATACATTTGTGCCAACTTAGACCTTCTGCTTATTTCTGTTATTTGGACTTTTGGTCGCACATCTGCCTCACAGCTGCTCACTCATGGTGGTAACAATCTACTGCAGGTCTCCTTCCAGAGAGACGCTGAAAGCCACCATCTTTTTGGCAAAGATTAGCACAGCCTGCCGAGAGTTAAGAGCTGGGTGAGGCACTGAGCCATCTTCTCAGAGCTCAGAAATAACCAGTTTCCAACACACTTGTGCCACCTCCTGGCATTTTCTGCAGCCACCCCAGGGGTCAGAGCCTCTGCACAGCACAGATGGCAGGGAGAGGGGCGAGGCACAGACAGGAACTCCCACTTATTAGCACTGGACTATACACTTTCCTTGGGAAATCTGGACCTAAAATTTTGATTTAATTGCATAAGATAGAAGGTAATTTACTTATGTAATAGGGACCAATAACTTTTTCAGTTGGTCTGTCAGTATAAAGAAAAAAAAGTGAGAAAAACAGTCCATTTGGTGGTATCATTGTTCCTGTATGTAGTAAGTGCCTACAGAATAGGCTGATCTATTTCAAAATACTCAATAACACCACACATGGAAAAATCCTAGGTGGTCAGTGTTTGACTCTAACTTCTTGACCATCCCTTATTGGATAAAACAAACCACTGATCAACACTGAAACAAATCACCTTAAGACAGGATATTGGTGGACTGGCAAGACAGCTCAGTGGGTAGAGGTTCTTGCTGCCAAGTCTGACATCCTGAATTCAACCCACAGAACCTATGTGGTAGAAGGAAAAAAGCCCACTCCCTAAGAAGGAACTGGGAGCCTATCTCCAGTGGTCCAAATCCCCTTTGTTACGAGGCACTGCACAATTCTACATGACAGCTAAGTACATGGAAAATTGTGCTGTTACACAGTAAGGGACTAAGTGATTTCTCTGTGGTGTTTGTCCCCTACTCTGTGCAGGAGTTTGGTGAGTCCCATTTACTGGGGCAGTGGCAGATAGCCATTTCACAAAGGACGGAGTTGATGTCCTAACTAGATCCATCAGACATACCACACAAATTTTGACCAAGGCTAGCTCTTTTGGAGTGATTTCTTCAAGTGTGCCTACAATACAAAGTCAGACTCACCAGGATGTGTTCTATGGGGAAGATTTGAAGGAGGCCCCACAGATCAGTGCTGCCCATGGTCAGGGAAGCAGAAGTGTGTATAGCACTTCCAAGGGACAGAAGCAAATCCAGCCTCATAAGCAGCATCCCCCAAGCCGAGCCCACCGCCTCCCTCCACCTCACCTGCTCTCATCTGTGGCCGACAGCAAACAAGACTCACCTTTTGGCCGCTGGTACTGTTGAAGAGCAGTAGACGTGTTGGTCACTGGTGCCAGGAAAGGTTTTTTCACGGAAAGGTTAATTGGTTCCTCCAATTCTGAGGGAATAGCCAAATCCTTGGGAACATCCAGACTGGAGGCTGCGGGGCCTTTTCCTACTGAGTCTGTGAAGCGAGAGCTGTCCTCACTTTCCATCTGTCAAAGGTGAAAGGTCAACGAGAACCAAGTCAGACATTCTAGCCAACAGCAAAACTGCTGAGCTGAGGCTAAGCTGAGGCTGCCAGTGGCCAACCTTTTGCTTCATCATAAGCCAAAGCTGAATGTCACTTTCTCAAGACATACCTTACACTGGGCATTCCCCATGAAGGACTCAGCCCCATCCTTGGGACCCAGGCTCTCTGCAGTTTGGCCAGAGCCAGGACTGGAAGCTGATCTAGTCTCCAGATGTGTGTCAGAAACCGGAGGCATGCCCTGCAGAGGACAAGTGGCCAGACTCGGCGCAGCCTGGGTGTGTCCGGACATTAGGCTGGGCCCAGCCTGTGAGTGGTTGCTTGCCAGGCTTGTAATGGCCTGGGAACAATCGCCCCTCAGGTTGGGCAAGGACTGGAATGAGCCTCGCACAAGGTTTGGCACGGGTTGCAGGTGACTGGCTGGGCTCGGCACGGCTTGGTTTGAGACACTCATCAGGCTGGACACGGTTTGTGGTGGGCCACTCAGCAGGTTCGGAATTGTGTGGGTGGGGCCAGCTGTCAGGCTGCTCACCCTGTGGATCTGTGGCTCTATGGTCCTCGCCAGCCTGGTAGATGACAACTCCATCTCCAGAGTGTTGGAAAAGCCCATGATGCTCACTGAGGAGGAGTGCTGCAGAAAGGGGCACGGAGAAAGTTGGACTGTCAACTGGGAGTGTAGGAAGGGAGGTGAGACCCTTTCCACAAGAGCTCTGAGATTCCATTTGCCTGTCCTTGGGGGCTGCCACTGAGAGCTAAGGCAGCTTATGAAGCCCTGTCCCAATTCCCACCACCAAGGAAGCTACTAGGTTAGGACACAGAAGTGCAAGCTAAGGTATGGTGTGTTGTGTTGTGTGTGTGTCTGTGTGTATACGTGTATGTGTGTGTGTTGCACATATATATATGCAGGAAAGAGAGAATGGGAAAAGGAAAGAACCTACCACCTGACCTGAGGCCCACACACGCCCCATGGACGGTAACCCCAGCCCTAGTCCTGTACTTAAGCAAAGCATTAGTCGGACTTTCTAATCTCACATCTCCAGCCTTGCCTAATACTGTCTGTGGCTTCCCTTCCTTCCCTTTAGAAGATCTCATGGGATACCATCCTATATAAAACTAGCCAGAAGTTATGAGAACCTCAAACTGTGATCTACTCCAGAGCTGCTCCCTTGAAAGCATGCCGAGGTTCCAGGGCATCTCCATTCTGTCCAGGAGAACCCAGCTCAATACCAGAGCCTGAGGCAAGCTTGCAGCTTGTACTAACATTGACTAATGGATATCATCAAGGTAGTAGAAAGTCTCTTCTAGCCTGGTATATATGACAAAGTCACTCCAGACCACAGGAAGGGATCTCCAGAGCAATCCTAGCATGGCCCCAGCAGGTGCGGTCATCAGATGGGGTGAGACTGTTCCAAGCAGAAATCTATCTACTTGGGCTCCTGAGAAGAAGGAACTTAAGGAGTTGAAGACATAGGTGATTTCGGTCACTGATTGTAAAGTTTTCCAGAATGAAGAAACAGATGTGATGGAGAAGAGAAGGCAGGGGACCAATTTTAAGTCTAGTTTTCATGAATTTGGAACTTTAATAAGCCTTGTTCTTGGGGGAATAAGGAAAGATCAAATATACACCAATTTGTCTATTTTTGAAAATCAAAGGGAAAACACTAGAGCATGAAGCTCTAAACTTTCAAGATCAGTGTCCCAAATCTGTCACTCTTTCCCCCACGTGGAAAGTGTCCAAATTTCCAAAGGGCAGTAAACACTCAGTACATTCTCGGGTATCAATATAAAGGTAATAAAGCCATTTCCTAGTAAAGAAAGATGGCCTTCTTCCCTGTAAATGTGGATTCCCTGGTTACTTTGCTTCATAAGTCAGATGCTAGAGGGAGCATCATAGGGGCACTCCAACTTGCTCCCAAGCTAACACCAGGCCCTGTAATTCAGATATACTCATTATGTCCCTCTCTACAGACAGTGCCACAGCGTAACCTGTGCTCCTGTCTCCCCAGACTAGAGGAGTGGCCTCCTCAGTCTCCTCCAGAGACACCTGGAAACACACACCAGACCACGTCATGCCTTGTCCTTAACCCTGCAGCACGCTCACTCTCTTCAGGGTGAGTGCAAAGATCCCGAAGAGCCTCCCAAGACCCAGGTGAGCCCTGCCCTCATCCTTAGCAGTTCACAAGTCAGAAAACAGCCCCCCCCCCATTTTCCAGGACCCAGGCCTTCAGACACTGCCTTTAGCTGCTGCAACAAGTCAGATGCCCCTGGCAGCCCTCACCCTGTCCAGGAAGTCCGCCTTCTCTGTGCAACATTCTCCTTTATCCAGCCCTGTTCCACCTGCCCTTTAGAGCTCAGCTTCCCACTGCCAGGGGGTGTGTGTAGGGGATGTGTGTGTATGCTTGTGTGTGTGTGTGTCCGTGTGTGTATGCTTGTGTGTGTGTGTGCATGTCTGTGTGCTTGTGTGTGTGTGCATGTGTGTTTGTGTGCGTAAGGGTATATGCATGTTTGTGTGCTTCTATGTGTGCGTGTGGGTGCTTGTGTGTGTATGTATATTGCATGAGTTTGTGTGTATGTATGTGTGTGCATGTTTATGTGTGCACGTGTTTGTGTGTATGTGTGTGCATGCACATGTGTGTTTGTATGTGTGTGTCTGTCTGTATGCTTCTGTGTGTGTGTGTGTGTGTGTGCGCGTGTGTGTAACAAAGGCTCTCTCATCCTCTAGTGCAGGCTATATGCCATCCCCTTGATGCTCCCATAACGTCAGTGCTTTCAGCCTCTTGCACATCCAGGGTACAGCGATCAGACGCTATTGACCTACGAAACTAAGCTCCGTCAAAGCCTAGACTTTGGTCTGATTTGTTCACCCACTTTATTCCTAAGCCCAGAGGCAGTGTCTGGGTGAGCACAGGATATAATGAGCTGACTGAAATTCTGAAGCAATACTGTGGGACTGGTGATTCTACAAATGCTGAAGAAAGGGCAGCTTGGTTCCACTCACGACTGACTCCGAGTTCACCCTGAAATCGTGACTGACTTTGGAGAGCTGAAATTTAGTAACAATTTTTTACCTGCAAAGCAATTTGCTGGGGCTTTACACACACCGCCTCAGTTAACCCTCACGGTAGCTATGGTGAAGGTTAAAAGATGCCATCTCTGACAACACTTAGAATATCTGGTCTGCTACTGCAGCCCCTGCAAGCCCCGACGCCCACTGTAGTGTTTTGCTGCAGAAGGCTTTGTTAGAAACAAATGAGGCCCAGAAAGTCATCTTTAGGTTTTTAATGTTTCCATAAAGCATGATCTTTAATGCTTTTCATCTCTGTTTTTTAATTGTACGTAGAAATACAATTATTGCGTTGATTGACCTTGTACTCAGATTCCTTGGTAGACTCGCTTTGGATTTTCTGTGCACACACAAGGTGATGTGAGTAGTGCCATTTCTTTCTCTTCTTTTGTGTTTTTCTGGATGAGTTTGCACAGCCATCCTGCTGCTGAGGACCCTGTCAGGGTCTTACCCCAAACCAGCTGAGGGCGCTCTCCTAGATGTGAGTCCAGCCTGCCCTTCAGACACACTCAGCCCAGGCCTGACTCCACCGACTCCATCAGCTCCTCCCTCTGTCTGGCCCTCCTCATCCTTCCCGCAGCTGCTCTCCCTCCTCTTCCGTCCCCTTCTGTCTCTTGTCACCTTCACCTTTTTCTTTTCTTTGGTGTTATCAGTTTTTTCTCTTCTCTCCCCACCCTGTTCCTTTACTAGTTATCAGCTCTTAAAGTTTGTGTTTCCTTGGTTTATGTTTCTTCTCAGTTTTCAAAATAGACAGTTTAAGCACCTTTTATTTATCTTTCTGTGGAAAGTATGCTTTTTTGTGTGTTAGTAAAAACTTTCTAACTTTCTAAGTAGTCTACAGAGCAAGGATGAACCGATGCTTCCGGCAAAGTGAATTAGGCATGGAGCCCAGCAAAAGGAATCAAGGCCAGAATCCAGTGGCCTTCTGGCTGGTGACTGAGTGTGGCTGGGTCCTCCTGTGTGTCCACTCGGCTCTGCCTTGGCCCTCTCTCCTTTTTTCTGCTACTGCCAGAATAATCACTTTAGGGTCTTTCATGAGCCTCAGTGAGACTGCAGCCAGCCTTGTCCTCTGCTAGGAGGGAGCCATGGGGTCCTGAGGGGCGAGCTGTCCCTTAGTTGCTCAGTGAGACTGCAGGCAGCCTGTCCTCTGCTGGGAGGGACCATGGGGTCCTGAGGGGCGAGCTGTCCCTTAGTTGCTCAGTGAGACTGCAGGCAGCCTGTCCTCTGCTGGGAGGGACCATGGGGTCCTGAGGGGCCAGCTGTCCCTTAGTTGCTCAGTGAGACTGCAGGCAGCCTGTCCTCTGCTGGGAGGGACCATGGGGTCCTGAGGGGTGAGCTGTCCCTTAATTCTGCTGGCTGCACTACCAGAGCTCACTAATAACCTGTATTTCCTTATCTACAGACAATATCTGGTGATTAAAGCATGACTTTATAATATAGAGCAAATGAATCCTTTCAACTGTATTATTCCTCCTTTCCCCATATGGCATATTTAATGTAGTTCTGATGTTCATTTTGTCTACCCAGGACAGATATTAGGAATCACATATACACATATCTGAGGGTGACCTTGAACTTCTGATCCTTCTGTCTCCTCCTCTCAAGTATTGGGATTAAAGACATATGCTATTAGGCCCAATTTTATAAAGTAGTTAAGGATTGAACTCAGGGTTCTGTGTATGTTACAGCAAGCTCTTGGTGAGATCCTTGATACTAATCCAGAATCTGTTTAGACCATCCAGCTAATCAGTTGAGTTCCGCATAAAGCCAAATCTCAAAGAACATACTTTATCTGAGGACTTCAAGTCCCTTCTCCCAACTTCTTACTTCATGCAGTGGCACATGAGTTCATACAATGACAGAAGAAGAAGGGAGCAGACAGACTGAGCCACAGCTTATTTTGAAGCAAGTCTGCAGGTGAACTGCTCCTGTAACTTGCCTCTTTTTTCCCCACACCCATAGCCAGTCACCAGGAGACCAGTGCTAGCATAGTAAAGTGCTGTTAGCAGTCCCCAAACATGGGAAACATCCATGGGAGAAGGAACTCAAAAGCAGCATCAAAAGCAACCTAGCACTGACCCCCTCCCCATCCTATAGCCTATAAAAACACAAGGACAGAGCTGGATAGATGCTTCAGTGGCTAACAACGCGACTGGCTACTCTTCCAGGGGACCTGGGTTTGAATTCTAGTACCCACATGGCAGCTCACAACTTGTAACTGAAGTCCCAAGGGATGCAATGACCTCTTTGGGCCTCAGTGGGCACCAGGCATGCACACGGTACACAGACATACATACAAGCAAAATACGTATACACACAACATGGGCGAGTGTGCATGCACACACACATGTGCAGATTCACAAACATGGCATTTCTGAAACCTATATGCACCATGTCAATACTTTTGGTGCTTTCCTGGCTCTGTGGGATGAAGAGCCACCAACCATTTAACCGAAAAGTGCTTGTTTCTAGTGCAGGAAGAGAGTGGAGAACCAAGGGACTTTCACAGTCCTCTGCTGCCCGTGCCACAGTGAGGGAGAGCAGGGAGAACCAGGGAGGGGCGTCTA